AATTATTTATTGTGTCAATTGATTCATGCATTGTCTCCAACTTTACGCAAGTGTACAAAATTTCAGATCGATTGGAGAGGTAGAAGTGTGTTATAAATCGATTATAAGATTTGTAGCAGACAGACAGACAGTCAAACAAACAACAAGAAGTGAAGTTAAGGGGAGCGTCTACCCTAAAATTTAAAATTTTTACTTCTTCGGTTTTCATACTAATTTTAAAGCTGACATTCTGCCCTATCCAACGGTACCACTGCCATCTCTCTACGTTGATTTATGATTTCACGACATATTTCGTCATAGTTTGGATTTTATTCCTGAAAAAGGGGGGTGGAAAGGGGTAAAATCGAAAAATTTCCGAAAACTTTACGAAAAATGCACCCACACCCGCAAAAACTAGAAATTCAAAAAACGGCTAGGTCGTTTTATAGATAAAAATTTTAAGCATTGAATGATATGTGTCTCGATGTCGCAGCTTGAAAATCCTAGGACGAGATAGATTTCAAAAGTACCCCCTTTTTTGACCGTTTTCCATGAATTTCACGTTTTCTTTCATTTTTCTCGAAAAATTCACAGGCACAAAATGTGAGTTTTTTCCATTTTACATATGTGTATCAAGTTTCAGAGTGATCCGTTTGTAAATAGCCGAGATAATTTTTGGGGTAGACGCTCCCCTTAAAGAAAAGTGTTGTAAAAAAATAGAGAACATCAATTTAGAAGCAGCCGAATATTTATAATTCCATCGGAAGTAAGCAAAATTACAATGTTTGTCGATGAGATATGTGATCTGGATTTTTTAACAGAATCTGGGCGAATCTGGGTGTTTTTCAGTAACTGTCTAAGTTTTTCTCAAATTATTGGCTGAGATCTGAGTGCCCTGGTTGTGCACTGCGCTTCAGTGCGGCGCCTGCCGTCAGTAAATTAGGTTGTCGTGTGCTGCTGCTGTCGGTGCCTGCCGGCTCCGTGAACAGTGCTAATATCGCGAATTTCCTGTATTAATTCACATCGAATAATAGTTCCGATGAAGTGTTTTATAAAATTTTTTATTGGCGTTTGGTTGTTTTTCCTGACTCCAGGAAGGAGGCAGTGTCATTTCTTGAAGTTGCATCGCATGGCGGTGTGTCTAATCGCTTCTTGCCACAGGATTGCATCAGGCTTTGTGCTGCTGCCGTCGGTCACTACTTGAATATAATATATAATAATAATAGCGGCGTGAAGGCGAACAGCTGATATATGCCATCATTGTCTCACTATTTAACGCAAATATTTCCCTGTTATTGCTGTTATTTTGTTGTTGTTGAACTGTTGTGTTGAGCGTGAATGGGTGATGCAGTTAACAATAACAGCAGTTCTGCAGTTGTTCTTGATGCTGTTAATCCTGCTGCTGTTACTGCTGCTGTTACTGCTGATGCCGCTGTTGCTCCTGTTGCAGTTACTGCTGCTGTTGTTGCTGTTGTTGTTATTGTAGCTACTGTTGTTGTTGTTGTTGTTGTTGCAGTTGCTGCTGTTGTTGCTGCTGTTGCTGCTTTTGTTGCTGTTGTCGTTTTTCGCTATTTTTGCTGTTGTTGCTGTTGCTGCGGTTATTGCTGCTGCTTTTGTTGCTGTTGTTATTGCTGTTTTTACTGTTCCTGTTGCTGCGGTTTTTGCTGTGGCTGCTGTTGTTGCTGTTGCTTCTGTTGCTTTTATTGTACGTACCGTTGCTGCTATTGTTGCTGTTACAACTATTGCTGTTGCTGCCGTTTTTCCTGTTGCTGTTACTTTTGTTGCTGCTGCTGTTGTTAAAGTTGCTGATGTTGCTGCTGCTGTTGTTACTGCTGCAGCTGCCGTTGTGCTGCTGCTTCTGTAGCTGATTTTGTTGCTGCTGTTGTTGCTGCTGTTACTGTACCTACTGTTGCTGCTGTTGTTGCTGCTGTTACTGTACCTACTGTTGCTGCTGCTGTTGCTGCTGATACTGTACCTACTGTTGCTGCTGTTGTTGCTGCAGCTGCTGAAGATCCTGCTGTTATTTTAGAGTTTGATGGAACATTGAAAATTGCTATTGGGCTCGACGCAATTGGAGCATTAATACTAAATCGCCGGAATTTTACTTTGAACGTCGCCTTTGGACGCATCCAAGATTGCCAATAATTTGGCTGTGCGGAACTCATGCCAACTGAGATTTGCACTGAGGCCCTCTAATTTGCCGTGCTTTCTGAATACATCGTCAACCTGTGACGGTACAAAAAATTTACACTCATAAGGTGTTAAGAAATTACTTAATGGGATTAGTTATATCCCGTAGAAAATTTACATATTTTTTGGCGCATTTACTCTTTTATGGAAAAAATGCGCTATTGTGCTCGTCATGTCCCTCAGTCCGTCTGTCTGTCCGTGACTTCACAGACGGACGAGAATATGCGCTCTCTGTAACTCACTGCAGTGAGCACTGATCTAATTTTTTTCACATTAGTCCTCTGCCTGTACTTTGATGACAAGTACCAATCGAAAATGAGTAGACTGCTGTGGGCCAAATATTATTAATTTTGACGACTGAAACGAGTAAAAGACGGCAACCGTGTATTAAATTTTAGTTTAACGAAGTGGGGGAAAAATTAATGTTGTTTACTCTAAGCTCCGGAGATAACATGCAGAAAGTATTGTAGTTCAGCTGACTTCGACTCTGATAGCTATTAGAGATAATGGAATAACTCGTTGCACATTACCACACATTATCACTCAGAAGCGCATTATATATCAGTCACTGAATTTCATAGGTTATAAAGCATAGCATTTGACTTTAAAAAGAGTGACTTTTTTAATATTTTATATTTATTTTTTTCTAAAAATATACACTGATTTTGGGTATTTTAGATGTATAAGAATAAATATACCGAAAAAGTAGTGAGAAAGGGATTGTTATGGATGAAAGAAATAAAAGATTAAAAGAAGTAGCAAGAATAAAAGAAAAAATTGCAGCTAATAAAATAAGACAATAAGCTGAAAAAGCTGAAAAAGAAAGACAACAACAAGAAATCGAAAATAAGAAAAAAATGAAAATAAAAAACTTTATAAAATTAATATTTAAAACATAAATCACTTAATTAATGAGATGAGCCGCCGCAAAAAAATGTTTGGCGAGGCATCCGAACTGGATAACCTGATGCCTCGCGAAGCCAGCAAGAGAGATGCGCAGCAGGACACCATCATCAACATTGGGGAGCCAGCGGCGCCTCAAGCCAGCGGCGCCTCAAGCCAGCGGCGCCTCAAGCCAGCGGCGCCTCAAGCCAGCGGCGTCGACGCCGCCGAGGCGCCCGCCGTCTCGTGAGTGTTGATGGGAACTCAAAATTTGCCGTTGATGATTTAATTCAAACTTGCGATGAAATATGTGGCCAATAACATGCAAGTGCCATGTCTGGATATTTTGATTCACGTCAACTGTCAAGTGAAATGTCTATTTTTGGAGGAGCTCAAGAAGTAAATGTCTGGAAATATAAGCAGCAGGGAGGTGCAATATTTTGATATTGTGTGCCCCTGAGATGACATGTCCGCTCGAGAAGTGGCATGTCCACCCGAGAAGTGACATGTCCACCCGAGAAGTAACATCTCCGCTCGAGAAGTAACATGTCAGCTCGAGAAGTGACATGTCAGCTCGAGAAGTGACATGTCCACCCGAGAAGTAACATCTCCGCTCGAGAAGTAACATGTCAGCTCGAGAAGTAACATCTCCGCTCGAGAAGTGACATGTCCGCTCGAGAAGTAACATGTCAGCTCGAGAAGTAACATTTCAGCTCGAGAAGTGACATGTCAGCTCAAGAAGTGACATGTCCGCTCGAGAAGTAACATCTCCGCTCGAGAAGTGACATGTCCGCTCGAGAAGTAACATGTCCGCTCGAGAAGTAACATCTCCGCTCGAGAAGTGACATCTCCGCTCGAGAAGTAACATGTCCGCTCGAGAAGT